GAGGGCTCCCAGCCGGCGAGCCACACCCGGTCTCCCGCGTCCAGTGGCCCGTTTCGCTTAACGTTGGTTACTTTTCTCTCCCCCCACCCCACCCCCAGGCTGGACCTCCCGTGAGCGGAGACCCCCAAGATTGTGTGGAAACCCTGGAGAGAACCGCCTCCCGATGACCCGAGATCAGTAATCGCCGATTTGTGTTGGCCGATCGTTTTCCCTATAGCAAGGGCGCATGGACCAGAGTGAGAAGTAAATTTCTGTCGCTGGTTACAAACTAGGAAAGAAGCAGGCAACAGGCTAAGGCTGCCGCGAAGATCTAAGAATGTCCAGCAGTCAATCTCCTGACTCCGGGGGGACTGAACCGGATGACCTTGCAGGACCCCGGGCCAGCGGCACCCAACCCCCTGATGACCTTGCAGGACCCCCTGATGACCTTGCAGGACCCAGGGCCAGCCCCCGCCCCCAGGCCCCGGGGAAAGACTCTGATGAAAGGTGGAGCCAGAAATACCAGCTCCCGAGCAAATACCTGGAGAGCAGCCACAGGTGATACTTACAACCTGGTTGGTTTGTTTTTCCTGTTGTAAAAGGGACTGGAGGATGTAGGTCTTTTTGTTTTGTTTGTAAGCAAGCCTAGGAGCAAGTTTAGGGCGGGAACTCGGGGAACCTGAATGAAATGCCCTGGGAAGCAAGTAAATTACCCAAGAAGTAGATGAGGAGGGGTTCAGGAATTTAGCTGAGTGGGGGCTGGGGTGGGAAGGGGAGTGGGAAATGTGTGGCCGCGGTTTCCAGGTTCCTTGGCTGGCATTCCCCCACCTGTGAGACAGATAAACCTGTGAACTCAGACTTGCTCCACGCTAAGCGCTTAGGAAGTTGCTTGGCACGTAACAGGCTGTTCAATAAAAGTTTGGCTGTTGCTGAAATGGAAAGCGTGAGTTTGTTTTGATCTTACAGCGAACGGCAAGACCGGAACAGAGTTTCTGAAGAACTGATCATGGTTGTCCAAGAAATGAAAAAATACTTCCCGTCGGGGAGACACCATAAACCGAGCACCCTGGATGCCCTCAACTATGCCCTCCACTGTGTGCACAGCGTACAAGGTAAACGAGCCGGAGAGAGCGCTGTCGCAGGGACGCCCTTGCTCAGGGACCGCAGCCAGGCCCGAGGAGCTGTCCGTGTGGTTGCTGTCACAGAAGCGTTTTCAGATTTTTATGGTGTTTTAGGGAGGATGAGCGAGTCCATGAGGGTCTTAGTCCTTCATTCTGGGAGACCCCGATTTGTGTAATAGCGGGGTGCAGTGTTGTGCGTGTCTCTCGCAGGAGAGTCTGAGTTTAGCACAAGCACATTTTGAAGGAGCATCGCCTCCTGTGGATATTAAGGGGAAAAATACATTTGGCTAAATACCGGTTTCACACTTTCCCTGCCTCACACATACTTTTAAAATGCACTCCTGACAGTACCAGGAGTTTACCAAATTACGAAGGCGCAATTATAAACACTTTTTCCTTTCGATCTCTGACTTTTCTTCTCACGGGATTTCGTAAAGTACACGATCTCTAGCCCAACCTCAGGGGCTTCGTATGTGACACGTGCCTCTGAGGGCCGGAGTAACACTTCGGTCGTGGTAACGCCCTGTGTGTGCATTTGGAATGTTGGGGTTCAGTCCCCCCTTTAGGACCTTCAGTGTTCTGTTCCTTGCGAACTAGAACATGCAAGATTCCTAAAACTCAAGATCTTAAGTTTGCACAGCGATAGGTATTTCAGGTGAAAGAAGAAAGTGACCTGGTTTCGAGGAAAACACGGAGGTGCCCTCTTGAGAAACGCCAGCTTTGCTAGTCAGAAATGAGGTTTCCTGGAGCTGCTGTTTTCACTGGACTACCTATTTATTTTCCTGTTTCTTAGCAAGCAGTGAGTTTTTCCAGATTCTCAGTCCCAATGGAGCGCCTCAAGCAGATGTGACCATGTACAGTCTTGAGGAGCTGGCCTCCATGGCTGCAGAGCACACTTCCAAGAACACAGTAAGAATCCGCACATTTTGCCATCTCCTCCTGGGGGATTTTCCTAACAGCCTGATCTAGACACAGATTTTAAAAAACAATAACCAAGAGTCGCAGATACCACAGTTGGAGGTAAACAGGAGGAGAAAACTGCCCGAGAGGCCCCGTGTCGCTGCCCCGGCCCTCCCCGGGGGAGCAGGTCCGCGGGCAGGAAGCAGCGCAGGCGCACTTGGCTTCGCCTCGGTCCTGAGGCGCCTCTGTCTCCTTAGCATCCCTGAGTTCTCTCCAAGACAAAGATAACACTGCAGAGTAGTGTCCCGCGTCATATTCTAATCTCCGAATTGTTAATTTCTATTTATATCATTCTTAGTTCCAATACCTACTCCTTCAAGTTGTAACAACTGGATTTCACAGGTGAGTCAAGATGATGCTGTCATTTCTTAAAAAATGTTGGAAGAGACATGTAGTAGATCCCTTTTGAATCTCTGTCGACAGAATAACGTCACCTCGTGTTTTGTTGATATGCTGGAGGCTACTTACCTTTATGTGTAGATCTCAACACAATTGCAACGAATAGGTTTTCTAATATCGGGACCTAAGCTATCCCTAATGTCACCGTAGCGCTTCCATTACTGACTGGTGTGCTCAGAGCACATAGTAGGTGCTGTTGAGATTTAAGAAAAGGAAGCGTAAGGACACATTTCCCCTTGCAGGTCTTTAAAATCAAACGGGGGAGGAAAACGTCGTCCAGGCCAGCAGCCGCGGCAGTGGGTGGTTAAGCTAGGTTCTATGCATGTCTGTTGTCACACATTCGAGAAGCAGTTCCTAGGTGAGGAGGCTGGTTAAATAAAGGCCACACCTTGGAGGTGACTCTTGAGCTTGGTCTGAAGCCTGGACTGTGGTTTGGTGAAGAGGAGACAGCCTCCAGGTGTCGGCACCGTGGCACAGGAGGAGGAGGAGGGATCGAAGTCCGCGTAGACGCAGTGGAGGGGTGCTTCGTCCTGTAGAGGGAGCTGCCGTGTTTCTTGGCCCAGAAATCAAACCTTCAGAAGGCTTTGCGGTGACAGTTAAAAGTACATGTCGAGAGCTCTGTTGCCTCTGCGGGAAGTGTGTGTCCTGAGCTATTGATCACGGTAGAAATCTAGGAGAATTACCTTTTGGGGGGCACGGCTAGTAAGTATCTCAATATTTGCATTTATTTTCCATGCTTTTCACAGGACACCTTCGTGGCCGTGTTCTCATTGGTGTCTGGGAGGGTGGTGCACATCTCCGAGCAGGCGCCTTCCATCCTGAACTGTCGGAGAGAGTCCTTGGTGTCCTCTCACTTCGCGGAGCTGCTTGCCCCTCAAGATGTGAGGGTGTTCTACACGCACACGGCCCACGCTCAGCTTCCCGCCTGGAGCAGCTGGACCCAAAGAGGTAACGGGCCGTCTGTACATGTCTCCCCGCCTCCTAGAGGCCGCGTTCCTGCCCCAGAGGCGGCGCAGAAACCCACGCATCATTCAGAACAGGCAGACGGAGCGGCTTTTCTTACTTATTTTAAAAAGCAGCGTGTGATGAAAATAACACTTTAAATGCTCCTAAAAACATAGAGTCAGTAAATTTGCTTTCACGTAGTCCAGTTGATTTCATAGAGTATAAATCATAACACAGCGTGATCGCCACAGCCTGCATAGCAGGTTAGTTGCTATCAAGGCTCTGCTTCTGTGAAGGGAATGGAATTAAATGTTCTTCCTCTTATATTGACTTCATTATGTGTGAGCTCTGCTTTGGAGATAAGCTTCTGAGGGTTAGCTTTCTTCTCCCGCTTTTCTTGTCCGTACAAGTTCAGGAATCACATTACTTTTTCTTCTGACCTGGGCGGCCTGTTTGCCACTTATTGTGACATCGGTCCTGTGTGGTCTCTAAGTGACCCGTCATTGCTGCTTTTCGTCTCCCTTCCACCTCGCGCTTTGTGAAGCGTCTCCTACAGAGCTCGCTATAGATGGTCCTTCTCTGTGATTTCACTTCTTGTTGTAGAAAAGCACATGAACAGAACTGGCCGCTACCCCTCTCTCAGCGCGTGGCCGTGGTGTCGGCACGCTCGCTGCTGTGAAGCGTCTCCGAGCCTCTCCTGCGGGTGGAGCTCGTGTCCTCCTGGTTTTTAACCCAGTGCTGGGCCCAGTGCAGTCTCGCTGGCTTCTCTTTCCAGGCCCAGGCCTTGGCTATCCTTAATGCACAAACTGTGTGAGCTGTAGAACGCACACCTGGCGTCCCGGCTTCCTCCTGGCTCCCTCTCCTGTTGCCGTCACGCAACAGCACTGATTTCCTTCCTCTTCTTCTGTCCTGAACGCATTCTGTCCTGAATGCATGTGTTCGGCCTTTCATTGTTTATAGTGTTTCCCTGCATTTATTAGTCACTTATTCCTTCCGTAAACATTTACCCACGATCACTGGGCCGGGCCCCGTCCCAGATGCTGCAGTCGAGGCGGGAGCAGAGCAGCCGGGCAGTGTCTGCTGCTCGCTCGCTCGCTTGCGTTCCCCCGTGTGCGCCTTCCTCTTCGCCTGTGGAGTCTCCGTCTTCTCTCTCCAACCTTTTCCTCCTTGCTGACCGCTTATTGCTATAGGTTTTCTCTCCTTGTAACAGCAGAATGTGGCCTGAAATTGTCTTGTAAACTAACCCTTCACTTCCTCCACTGAGAGGACCTCCGCCTGGTGTGCTCCCTGCCTTGCACTTCTGCCCGCAGACCTCGAGCCCTGCCTTCCGAGCGCAGCTGTCAAGTCCCCAGCTCGTGGGGCTGTGCCCGCGCTCCTCTCACCTGTCCCTCCCTTTGAGCTCAGGGACATGACGAGGCCGTGGGAAGCCACCCGCCGCTGCTGTCAGCGTTCGGCCTGCGGTAGAGCCTGGCTCAGCTTCCCCTTGTGGTTGTGCCGGGGAGCCGACCACGGTTCCTTTAAATGCACCCAGAAAGGAGAAGTGGCACCCACGGCCGAGGGCCCGTCTGTGCCTCCACCTGGTCGGCTCTGTGTCATGAGACTCCCAGGGAGGGGGCTGCGCAGGGCCTGCTGTCACGGAGAAGCGGTGCAGGGAGTCCGCCTGCATGGAGCTCAGGGTCTCTCTGTGCGGAGAAGCTCACGCTGGGACCTGGTGTGCGTGTGACACTGAGTTCTGTCCCTGATGAACCTGGAGGCCGCTTGGCTTCTCGGTGTGCAGTGGCTTCTGACCGGCCCAGGCCAGGGCCGCCGTGAGGTCCCCGCGAGTGGGCGGGAAAGCTGGGAGCTTTGCACATCACACAGCATCAGGGTCGTCTTGGTTGCCGCTCAGTTGACGGGGACTGTGTGCCGGGGCTGTTCCTCCTGTTTTAGGGGATTTAATCTTCACAAGAACCTTGGGAGGCCTGGGCACCCTCAGCGTCCCCCGCTGACAGGTGAGGTAGCTGTTCGCTGGGGTCAGCCGAGAGGCAAATGTCAGGATGGGGTTAGCTGTGCACGAGACTTACGGGAGGGGCCCCGCCCAGTGCGGGGCTGTGCCTGTGGGAGGAGGCTGGGAGGAGCCGTCCTGGGCCCCCACAGCTCAGAGCAGCTGGCGTGGCCAGGCAGCCACAGGGAGGCCCAGGCC